GCGCCTGCACTTAAGAAACTAGTCCATGGAATCCAGGTCCAGCGCCGAACTGCTGTGAGCCTGAGTTGCCGATGGTCGGGCCCTATCATGGGCCTGCTGTGCCACCTCAAGTGCGCGGCTTGCAAGAAGGTCCCGTTGGCTCCTGAGTGTGTCCTGACGGATGGGCGTGGCACCAAAGGCTCTGGCCAGCTTAATCGGCTGATCTGTTCCTCGGGACGGCTTAAAACCTGCATCGCAGCAAGCACTAAAAGGCATCTTATTGTGAGGCGAGCACTTGATGATATCGCGTTCGTCCTTCGGCGGCTCCCCTTTGGGGCCGATGTAAACTGTCTCCGTCTTGGCTGTCTTGTCATTGCCGACTGTTTGTTCCTGACTAGGTTGCTCAGCACACGGCAAGAGCATAAGTCTCTCAGGTCCTTCCATGGCATCAGCTACGTTTGGAATCCCCGCTGGTGGGGGCAAAACTACGTTCAAAAACTCCCCTCCCCTACAAAAGAAACAGGTTTGAGCCGGAGGCTTGGGCATCCAACCAGCAAAGTAGGATCAGGAGGGCACAGTTATGCTAGTACAGGGGGATTGGCAGGGAGTCGGGTTGCGAATTCTTAGGGTTTCTATCTTTGGTCGTCCAAACAATCAAAGCCAAGTTCACGTAAACATCTGATGCAGCATCGCGAGTCCGTAGCTACCCTATCTCCGGCTGCGACTAATTCCCTCTTCTTTATCTTTATTCGGGGCCGTGTGTTTGTCAGCGCTGTTGCGGATTTGGTGGGTTCTTGCATTCCGCCGTTTCACTATGATCCTCATACTCATTTCTTTCCTATTTACTATTTGCCCAGGGCGTCTATGTGTGGACAGCACACAGCTGCTCATTATGCGGAAACGTGTTGTCCTTCGCAAAAAGTGCACTTAGGCACATACCTTGTCATGATAATGCATGCCTCGAGGAAGTTGAAGTTGCCCGCCTCCCACAAAGGTCGACCTAGAAGACCCGGACGAGTCAGCACGCGGGAGCCCTGGGCGTCAAGCAAACTGTCGGTCGGTTTGCGAGATGAAGACGAAGATTAATGCCAACATCAAGAAGATGACAGCAGCAAGAGACTGTTGATAGCAGCCGCAGCAGCAGCGTCAGCGGGCAGCATCAGCAAAGTAGGTACAGTGCAGCAACAAGTGTACGGGTGGTGGTGATGAATTGAGTACTGTTAATGGCCAAGAGGAGCAGAATGACAGTGTGCATGACAGAATAGCGAGCCCTGCAGACAAGGTTGTCTTAGCCGATTTCGTGGCAGTAGCAACCCGGAGCAGCAGCGGCAGTAAAAGCAGGAGCAGAAGGCGTAATGATAGTCGTCGTCGTCGCGGCTGAAGTCGTAGTCGCCCGATCATTGCTACTGTTGCGAAGGCCCTTCAGAACTATAAGTAACTACAACTTCCACATCCTGGAAACCCTCAATCCCTAAATGCTTGGAGCCTTGATCGCTAGTTTCGACGAAAAACCCTGAACACCAACAGCCTTAGACTCTGACCCGAAACACCAAACACCACAATACCTCACAGCCCTAAAAATGAACCCCAATCCTCGAACCGCAGAACCTCAACCTTTTTTCTCCTAAGCCCCTATAATCAAATCTGTCTAAGCTTCAACTCCCGGCAAGCCCTTCTGAATCAGATCCGCCATACCCTAAAGCTCTGTTAGAGTAAAGCCCTAAAAGCCCGAACTCCTAAACCCTAAAACCCTGCACCCTAAGAGCCCCCTAAGAGCCCCTAAGAGGCCAGCTCTGGTCGCAGAGAGCCGCCCGGAGGCTCCGACACGAGTCGCACATTAGGAATCATTAGGGTTTATGGTTTAGGGTTTAGAGAACTGAAGTCTTTGGTACAGGGTGTGTCGGACTTTCTGACGGGTTTCGTTGGAATTGAAGCGTTTGGCACATGGCTTATATGGTTTTTGTAAAGGTAAAGGTGGGGCTTAGGGCGTTTATAGTGGTTAGTAAAAGAGGCTACAGGGTTGCTCCTCCTTCTCATAGCGGTTTTCCAAGGGTCGTTAGCATTTCATTCTGTACAGTTGGTGTGAATACTTAAATCCTCAACTACCCAACCGTATCCGTCCGCCTGAAAGCTTGAATCAGATGCCCCGAACTCTCAATGGTAGGGGGGCACATCCGGACGGATCTAGCGCAAGAGCCTAGACCCGAAAGAACCCTGAGCCCCTGAAACCCTATATCTAAACCATGCGGGTCATCATGATAACCCTTCACAGATCCTTCCAGAAGCCCTCATATCAATCTTTATAAGAACCAGAAACATTGGACTCTTACAGAAGCTCTGGGTTTCTTGCAACATTCCTGCATCGGTCGCGAGGACGAGCTTCGTCCAGCGGGTGCACGAAGCCGAAGTGGAGGCCAAGAGAAAGAAGTGGGAGGCTTTTTTTTGGTTGAGGATATTTAAGTTCAGGGTTTTAGTTTCGAGTCTGTCATCTTGGTTACCTGGTTAAGGGTTTGAATGTATTTGTTGCTTCTGTTTTAGGCTGCTTAGGTTGAGAACGCAAGTAGCCGCAGAAAACATCTTCGTGATTGTGTTAGCAATCATGCAGGAGGAATGGAGCATTGCAAGCAAACAGTGACTAGCTAATGGCAGTTGAAGTTCTGACGAGAATCCTCCGGACAGCAAAACTGAAGTGCAGCAGCAGTAGTGACAATCCACATTCTTGCACTGCTAGCAATCACAACGGGTAGGAGAGAATGCTCAACAGAACGCAAGGGAAGGGAATAATCATAGACCAATGAATATTGACCAGCATACTTCAACAGAGTTTAGGGTCCATTCTTTGGGATTTGAGGTTTGAGGTGTTTCATGTCTGGAATGGCAACCCAGGTGTGTGGGCTCAGTTTCGGTGTCAAGCATAACGGTTTGCAACGTGGGCACGGAATTTAACAGCAGCAGATAGAGAGTCTTGGTGCTACTTGTACAGGCCCGGGCGTTGATCTGGGCTGAACCTTCCAGGGTCTGGTCGTTGACAGAGGATGTCTTTGCTGTGGGTCTGAAGTTTGGGGGTTTGCAAGGAACTCCGGCAGAAGACTTTCAAGACCTTTCAAGCATACACCACGAGTCACTCTGCTACAATGTGCTGAATGTACATGGCCCCATGCAGAGCTGGCGCACCAACGCATGGTTGCTCATCGACTTTTTCCTTGACCAATCCTGCCTGTGAGGCACCCAGATGCTATGAGGTGTTCAGGACAACACCTTCTGCTTCGGACCTAACACCTAAACCCTAAACCCTA